TTGATAATTAAAAGAGATTAGTGGCTCCAAGAGAATCCAGTAATCTGCCTTCACAACAAAGGAGATTATCATTCTAGTTTAACTATAGAAAGGTCACTCAGGTAAAACTGAAATCTCCTTCAAGGCAAGAGAAATAGTTGCCCTTAACTGTGTCTCTGATATCTTATTGTTGTTTTCTTTCATGATAGTAATATGCGTGCCATCCCATAAATCTGATATATGAGTTGCTTATGGAAATTTACTGTGATCACTTCATCCCAGTGTGTATTGACATGCTTTACTGTGTGTTGACTACTATGCTAGGAATTCAGTTATCCCCCAAGCTGGAGTTGGAGGAAGTAATGAGAACTTAATTTTTGTGTTCTATAACTAGTTACTGATTACTTGTAGCCAGCTAGTTTCATGGGGAACTTGGAGAAAACTGAGGATAGTTGTAGATTCTGCCTGGATTTGACAATATTTGTGTATATGTGTGTTGGTGAAGACAGCTCGATGAATGCTGCCTAGCAGTTGTACTTTTAGGGCTTAAGTGATGTAGGCAATGAAGAAAAAGATAAATTCTGTTGTGCTTTAAGAAAGTGATCTTAATTAAAATGTGAGTTGACCACACCCTGCTCCTTCACATATCAAGGGTGTCAGGCTCCTGAAAATGATTTTGTTATGTATATTTTATTTATGTGCAGCTTTTAAGGCTTGAGTAAGATAAAATATGCTTAATTTTATATCTTACTACATTAAGAGATCAATAATCCCAAGTTTCATGGCCTCGGATGTCTCCCTCTATGATCCCTTTGATAAATAAATCCTTAGATTCCTCAGAATGTGGTATAAATGCTGAGGATTGAGAAACGAATGCATAGTTCCTTTTGGCTGTCTTAATTCCTCTATCGGTTGGCCTAGGCTTGTCTCCATACCTTTGAAAGAGTAGCATGGAAATTTTAGCACAAATTCCTCCCTAAAGAATGCCACTGTTTCCTGGAATAGAGCAGAGTGTGTATCAGAGAGGAGTCTGGGACTTTGCAGAATAGAAGACACGGGAGAAACAGGGAAGACTTTTTCCCAGGAGCAAATGGTCAACAGTAGAGATGCCACTGGACCAGGGATACAGAGGGCATTGGTGACCATCAAAGTCAAAGCAGTTTAATGGAGGGGTGGGAGTGGAAGCCAGAATGCTTTATTGAGGCATGAATGGGTGGTGTGCAGATGCTTCTGGAGAAACCAGGGGACAAGGGGGCAGGAGAGAGGTAGAAGCCAGAGGGTTTGTATAGGCAAGCATTTAGGGGTTTCTTTGATTTGTTTTTGTTATAAGACAAAAAGAGGGGAAAATGTTTGTAGGCTGAAGAGATGGCACAAAGAAGGAGTTTTATTTGCTGTTAGAGTGGAGAGAATGGTTTTCTGAAACATTGACATTTCTCAAAGAGGTGGCTTGAAAGGGGGTTGATTGATGGTTAATGAGAAGCCAATCTGTAATGAAAAGCTACGTTATTATACCCCCTGTTGGAACAAAACATTCCTTCACTCAACAAATTTATTAAGAAGTGACTATGGGGACCAGCAGATGGTATAATGGTTATATCACTGGACTCCCACCTAGTTGACTGTGGTTTGAGTCCCAGATTCAGTGGCTTAAAACTCATGCTGGGCACGTGTGTGTGCATGACCAAAATTCCAAGAGGAGGAAGGGATTGCGGTGTGGCCATCCCCCAGGGGGTGATTTCTCACTTCCTGTCTCTCTTTTTCTGCTGCAAGCATACGTGCCTTATGGCAAAAATCTCTCTCCAAAAAAATAAATAAATAAAAGTGACTGTGTACAGGCACTAAGAATATAGCAGCAATGAAATAGACAAAAATCCCTGCTCTAACAAAAACGTGGTTACAAGTGTGCCCAGACTCACTTTATGGTTTCTACTTGCCTAGTATTTTCATGTTTGTGGTCTTGCCTTAGGATAATGTGCGTATTTCCTTTAAAGTGGCCATCCCTACCCCAAGTTCACTGCCTGTGCAAGCCCTCTGTGTGGCTCTTAAATCTTTCTACCCTTTCCTGTTTTTTAAAGAATTATTTATTTTAATTTTATTTATTTTTATTGTAATTATTTTTAATTTGACCAAAGAGGAAGAGAGAAAGTGAGAAAGCAAGCCACCAGGTCTAGGGCTTGAACCGCAGTCTGCCATGTTGGAATCCAACACTCTAACCACCATGCCACTTGCCAGCCCCTCTGCCCACTTCTTGTCACTTTTAGTTACCTCCTAGAAATACTGTCCCTCTCTATCTTTTAACTTGGTAAGCAAGTATACCTGATGGGTAGCAAGTCAGAGGTTGGTGTTGAAGGCATAGGTGTGGCAGCACACCTTGGGAGGTGATCTAAATGTCTCTTACAGGTACTCTTGGTCTCTTGCACACTAATAGGCTTTCTTGGATGGAAAGTGGTAGAACTGCAGCTGACACTCTGGCATTTCCATATATCTCTGAGTCACGAGGTAGAGGTTGCCTTCTTCCTAAATGTGTGGCTTTCCTGAACCGTGTTTGAAGGTCTGTCATATCTTTGTCTATGTTCATTCCTAACGTGATGGCCGAGTTGTTGAGAACAGCTGCTTCAGCTTACTGTCTGACACTTGGCCATCCTGGGACCAGCAGATGGTGTAATCTTTATGTCGCTGGACTCCTACATACTCGACCGCGGGTCAAGTCCCAGACCTGGCGGCTTAAACTCACACCAGGTGCATGTACTTGCATGCTCAAAATCCCTAGAGGAGAATGGAAAAGAAATTGCAGCGCGGCCATCCCCCTGGGGAGTGATTTCTCGCTTTCTGTCTCTCTCTGTCTGTCTCTCCAGCAAGCGCATGTGCCCTATACCAAAATCTCTCTTAAAAAAAAAAAAAAAGTCCAGCAGTAGTCAACTGTCCAGGCTATTATGATGCCTGTGGTGGTGTTACACTGTTGGAAGAGCAAGTACTGTCTTTATAGAGGTTTGGCTATAAGCACTGTTTTGGTGTGACAGCCAAGAACCTTTGGGCAGTGTTTTGCACCTCTGAGAGTGGAGTAATTCCTCCTGTGGAGTTGATCCTAGTCTGGGTGCAAACAGTTGTTTTGCTGTCAGAAGAGGACTGTGTCTTGGGACCAGCAGATGGCATAATGGATATATTGCTGGATTCCCACGTAGTTGACTATGGTTTGATTCCCGGACCCAGAGTTTAAAACTCATGCCAGATGTGTGTGTATATGCCCAAAATCCTGAGAGGAGATTGGAAGAGACGGGATTATGGCATGGCCATCCCCCCGGGAATGATTTCTCACTGTCTCTCTGTCTTTCTCTGTCTCTCCAGTGAGCATACATGCCCTATAGCAAAAATCTCTCTCAAAAGGAAAAAAGAGGACCCTGTCTTATTCTTTACCTCCTTACATTCTTTTTCTTTTTAAAAAGAAAAAAATTGGCCATCTATTCAGCAAGCCTCTGTTGAAGAACTAAAGAGAAAGGGGATGCTTACTAGGAATGGTGAATAAAATTCATTCAAGTCTCATGGTTTATCATAATTTATTTGTATTTTGTATTTTAGTCTTATTTGTATTTTTGACATATTATTATCACAGTGCACCTCTCTCACAAATCTTGGAATCAAATCGACATTCTAGAAATAGATGCTCTGGTTTTCTAGGCTTATGATGCAATTTCAAATGCATCCTGCCAGTTGTATTTCCTGCCTCCCCCCAAACTAAGAGAATTTGAGGAATTTGAGTTTAGGGTTCTAGCACTGCCCCTTCCCTGGACACACGTATCCACTGACTCCTCAGCCAGTTTCCTTTCTTTCTCTCAAGTTGCATCCTATTGGGATATAAAACAGGATATCCTATCTCCTGGGATGCCGTCTCATGGCTCTGCCTCTTTCCTTCCAAGCACAAAATCTTGGGGTTTAGTCAAGACATTTTATTCCTACAAACCACAGGATAAGCAACAGTGATAAAGAGAATTACAGATACCGATATGTTCCAAAGTCATGGGCAAGTTTTCCTCACTGAAACTTTAATGAATCTAGACACATGGTTCTTAATTTCTGTTGAGTCTCTGGTAGTATTTTCCCAGGGATGAGATCTGTCATTTTCCCACAAGTGAAGTCTGAGCTTTCCTCTCATTCTCTCTGCAGTACTCCTAGCGACTAATGGTGTGTCCTTGGCTTACACACTGGCTCAGTGAAGCTTTTTTATGTCTCAACAATCTTTCTGGTTGGGAGGCTTTTATTAGTAAGGCTTTGCCTCCTTACAGCCTATCCTGTACAAGTGCTGGGCACTCAAGAGTCTGTACTGCCAGAGCAAAGGATGAGGAAGAGAACCCAAGAGGAAAGCTCAGTGCCTTTGTTCATTCAGCGCATGTTTATTGACTACCTGCCTGTGCCAAGCTGTTTGCCAGGGAAGGGGACATAAAGTTGAGACTAATTTTTATTCTTAAGGATATCACAGTCAGATGTTGGAGACAGATAAGGAAGAGGCCATTGTAACAGTGCTATGTGATGTGTGGGACTAAGGAAGATCCTTCACACTGAGCTTCAAGATCTGGCCAGGGGGAGAAGCTGAAGGCAGCATCTGGGACAGTGATTCTAAGAAAGAGAGTAACCTTGGAGCTTGATCAATGAGGTTGGAACATACAAGGTGTGGAAACCAGGGGATGTGCCTGAGGAAAACTAGACAAATTTAGGCTTTTCTTTTATTTTTTAAAGTCTACTCATTTTATTCATGATGGCACTGGCACACGAGAGAGAAAAGTACCTTCAACAGAGCATCCGCACACCACAGTCTCCTTCCTCCAGCCCTCCAGCTTGTCAGGATTTTGGTTCACAGCCAGCGTGGTTAAGGTCGACCAGACCTGGGATCCAAACCCAGTGGGATCCTAGGATTGTTCATAAATATTGCCAATTTCTTTTCACTTTAGCAAAAGCTACAATTAAGTAGAATCTGTCTCTAACATCTGACTGTGAGATCCTTAAGGATGAAGATGGGTCTCAACTTTATGTCCCCTTCCTGAACAACAAACCCAGTTAACCATGTGGCTTCCAGTACTCCAATCCTGAACACTACCAGCTGCACCACCTTGGTTGGGCCTGGGTTTTATTACTTCTTTGTTTTGCATCTTCTTCATGCTAGATAAATCACATTTTGTCAGCTATCAGTTTTGTTTATACTTTTCAATTTAAAAGTTTTGATGGTGTTGGAGCCAGCAGGTAACATGGTGATTAAGGCACTGGACTCCACTGTTCGAGACCTGGACCTGGCGGCTTGCCTGCTCGCTTGCGCGCGCGCGTGCTCTCTCTCGCGCGCACGTTCTCTCTCTCTCGCGCGCGTGTTCTCTCTCTCTCGTAAGAGCACATGGCCTATAGCAAACTTAACAATAATTAATTAATTAAAATAACTATTTTTTCTTTATTTCGATGTTGATAACTTTGGTCTACTATCAGCCAGAATGATAATAAGTTGAGTCAGTGTTATTCTAGGTAAAAAGAATATTCATATGCATGCTTGTGAAAGAGTTGCTGTCATGTTTAAAATGGGAATAATATAATTTCTATATTACAAGTACTGATCTTTGCCTTATTTCTAATCAGATTGTTCCTTTATATCTGAAATCATTAAAATGAGAAAATAGTTACGTTGAATGTCTTTCGAAGCACATTCCAGACTGAGTTATAAGTCAAAACCTGCCAGTTTAAAGTTAATGCAATTATTTGGTTCTACGTAATTGTAGCTTCTGCTAAAATGAAAAGAAATTGGCATGTTTATGAAAAACTCCAGGATCCCATTGAAATGAGGAAGACATTATTTAGGAAGACAGGCAGTTATGATTCAGACTATATTTCGGACAAGATGTCAGAATTATTAATGTGCCTTCTCTTTCAAGTGACTAGTAGGCAGATAACATCTTTGATATTCATAAGCGCCTGAAGTTACATTTTTAAGGAAAGAGTTCCACCTACTGAAGGGAGGGTTGGGTTTTTTTTTCTGTTTTTTTTGTTTGTTTGTTTGTTTTGGGGGGGGGTTGGGTTTTTTTTTTTTAATATCTTCCTTCTCATTTGATTCCTAGAATCTTGTTTCACTTTGAATTCTTAGTTTCTCCAGCTGTGTGCTGCAGTTAACTCCAATGGGTAGCTTATGCCAGACAGTGATCCCCTCTTCCAGAGGATTAGCTAGGATGGCTGAGATTCTTAAAGGGAGTCTGGGCCTCTAAGACCAAGTGTCAAAATAAAACCTAAACATAACAATGATTTAGCAGTTTTTATGTTTCAAAACCTGTCATTTCAATGTACTCACTGGCCCAAAAGGTTTTTTGTTTTGTTTTCAGCTGGGTACAGGGACAGTGAGTAGGAACAGGCCAGTATGATGGAAAAAATGAACTATTCCAAGGAATAATGGAAGGAGATCGAAGAACACATGACCTGGATCAAGATCTAGTGGGGAGACTTAGTTCTCTGAGGGCAGTGTCAGTGCAGAGACTGTTCGATCACAACTTGGCAGAAGGTTACTGGAGAGATTTCTGAGATCAGATTACATAGCCAGTGCCCTGCTTCAGAGTAATCCATGTAGTACCTTTTTGGCAGTTCTTAACAACAATATATTACCTCATCAGTGAAAGGTTGAGAACATCAACATCAGCAAACACATCAGTATCAGAATTAAAGTGTATTATTTGAGAATTTTGCATAGTCATTTTTCATATATTGGTACCCTTTTATGTTGTGACTTAATTTATTGCTGGGCATCAGTAGTTTCTAGCTTTTTTAAACTACTTATTGGACTATGCAAGTAGAAAGTGATTTTTAAAGGAGGTAGATTATAGGCTAAGTTGATATACACTTGCCAATGTGTGCAGATTAACTGTACAACCAGTGAGGGATGGTATTCTAAGATCTCAAAGTGAAACCCAAAGAATATTAATTATAAGGTCTTAGAATTCACTCTTATAAAAGGTTTATGCTTTCTAAGCACATGTCAAGCTTGTGTCCTAAACACCTGATAAAATTAACTAGAGGTTAGTCACCTTTTTTTTAAGTACAGTTTGCCAGTGACATCTCCTGATACTTAAATAATGAATTTTAATTGGCTAAACAGCATATGTTCTTTGAAATCTTTCTGTTTTTTTTCTAGAATTATTTATTTTTTTTATTATTACTATTATCTTTTAATTTGCTATAGGGCACGTGCACTCACCACAGGAGAGATAGAAGAGAGAAAGTGAGAAAGCAAGCCACCAGGTCCGGAACTCAGATCACGGTGGGCCACATAGGAGTCCAGCACCTTAATGACTATGCCACCTACTGGCTCCAAAGCATTCTAGTTTTTGATAATAATACAAAGGCAAAAATATATCAGCAGTATGTATGTTTTTCTCCCTTAAAAATAACAGGATGGGGATACAAAGTAGATGGCATAATGGTTACATCGCTGGACTCCCACCGTGTTTAAGTCAACCATGGTTTGAGTCTTGGGCCTGGTGTCTCAAAACTCATGTCAGAGGACCAGCAGTTGGTGTAATGGCTATGTCACTGGACTCCCATGTAACTGACCATGGTTCCAGTCCCAGACCTGGTGGCTTAAACTCTCACCAGGAGCAGGTGCTTGCCTGCCCAAGATTGCAAGAGGAGAATGGAAGAGAAGGGATTGTGGCATGGCCATCCCCTTTGGGGGGTGATTTCTCGCTTTCTGTCTCTCTGTCTCTGTCTTTCTGGCAAGTGTGTGCGCCCTATAACAAAAAGCTCTCAAAAAAAAAAAAAAAAAAAAACCACTCATGTCAGTCTCATGTGCATGTGTGCCCAAGATCCTGAGAGGAGAAGGGATAGCAGGGTGGCCATCCTCGCTGAGAGATGATTTCTCGCTTTCTCTCTGGCAAGCACACACACCCTTATTAAAAAAAACTCTCTTCCTCCCCCACCCCCCCGAAAAAATGAAATGGTAACTTCTGTGACTGACACAGATTAAGCATTTCTGATACTATTATTCCAGATTATGAGAAATGTAGGTGTGTGACTGGTGAGAGCCCTAGCCTGGGGAAGTTGGAATTCAGACAGCGACATGTACACGGCTGGAACTGAGACCTGGTGGC